TGCTCAACAATGTTGACCAACATCTGATGTTGACTTTCAAAATAAATCACCTCCAAAGTTTAACATAGTTCATAGTAATAGTCAAAAGTTGCTGACCTTGTTGCAACATGAGTTAACACAAATATGAGTGTAAATTGTCAATGATTCAATAATGAGTAATAACTTATTCAATAAAAAGTCTGTAATTTGTCAATAATAGTCAATAATTCATTCAAGAATAGATTATGGGTGTTTGGTATGGCTCAGTGGCTAAAATGGGTTGGATGGTAGAGAAATTACTTAATTTTAAATTACCTGAATGCACAAATTCCTTCATTTATAGTTAAACTTTAGGAAATCAACTTTTTTTTTCCTTGTGAAAAAAATATCAAAATTAACTTTAAAATCCAATCCAGGATTAAGTAACAACTAGCAACACCCTAACTGTACTATGTTCTGTGTTTCCAACAGATGCTACGATGACTTCTAAAAATGGATGTCCCAATAAACACAATAAAAAAAATTCAATGATGCATCAAATGTTGTCTGAGTATGTTTAAAGGTAATAAAAAAATGTGAAATCTGGAAAACAAAGAGAATTCCTGAATCTGTCTTGTGTGCTTTGATGTGTACATAAGTTTATTGGAGGTCCTGAAACAACTTTTCTGAGAACACAAAGATTTTTATTTTACCTTTGGCCAAGATGTCAGTTTGAAGTCAGGCTGCTTACTGCAAAACCAAGAGGGTTTTTAAGACAGACAGTCTTCATTTGTATTGTTTTGTCGACTAAGCTAAATGTAATTTCTAAAATATGGATAAATCTGATCTCATCATGCAGCATGAGCAACTGGGTACAGGTGTGAGGGCCAAAAGTCTGGTTATGTACTGGCTCCTAAATGTGCTTGTTTTCTACTGAAACATGGAGTAGGGGTGACCTTTAAAATGTGAGACAGCTGAGGAAGTTAACCAGTAAACAGAAATACCTGCTCCAGGTGCAGAAATCTGACAGAACCTGACAATCACTCATCTGCAGTGACTGCAAGTTGAACAAGAAAATGTGAAGTTAAAGGAAACCTCCTTTGTCCCAAGGCCACTTTAAGTATCGTTAATATTTTTCTTTCTTTATTAATCGATTGTAACTTTGTTCACATTTTTCAACAACCAAAATGGAATTTGTTTTTTTAATGTTATGGCTAGGTATTAAAAAAAAAACTAACATTTAGCTCCCCCACTACCCAGTTATGTTGCTCTTATTTTGAAATGTAACCGGAAGTTCTGTGTTAAGAGAGTCGAAAAAAGAAGTTATGGAGACGCCGCGGCAGTATACTGGAGCGATGTCGAACCGAGACGCCGCTAATGTCGAACCGGTTAACACCATAGACATAATATGCCTGTGGTTAACACAATCTGCCAATAACGCCTTGTTTTTAGACATCATGTGTCTGTGGTTACGGCATTTTATCGTTCAGCCTTTTTTTTTTTCTATCGTTCAGCCTTTTTTTTTTCTATCGTCCAATCAGATGTGGCCGTCCAGACACGCCCATTTTTCTATCGTCCAATCAGATGTGGCCGTCCAGACACGCCCATTTTCCTATCGTCCAATCAGATATGACCGCCCAGATACGCCCACTTTCCTATCGTCCAATCAGATATGAGCGCCCAGATACGCCCACTTTCCTATAGTCCAATCAGATATGAGCGCCCAGATACGCCTTCCGAATTTGCCTGCAGAGACCCCTTCTTGATCGGTCCTGCGGTGAAGTTTAGATTCACTTTGGACTTTATTAACGAAATAAAAAATAAAACATTTTAAAAGCCTTACAGTTCTGTTATGCCGATCATTGACTGCCTGAGTTAAATAAAATGAAAACCTTCATGATGTTTCATGTAATTTTAGCGCTCAGAACAGTGGCGATTTAGCCTCTTTGGGGCCTCAAGTACCACTAAACTTTAACTCATCAACACCTCTGGGTTTGGGGTTTTGTTTATTTACATTTATGTTTCACTACAACAAAATAAAGACATTTAAAAAGTAGCAGATCATTGTAATATTTGGTTTATTTACTTGTCCGGCCCGGAGCTGCTGGCTTTCAGTAACTGTGGCCCCCTGAGCAGTTTAATTGAATAGCCTGATTTAGAGAGTGGAATACAGTTTATTCCATTTTCAAAACCTAAACCGAGTCTGGAAAAATGTAAAAGATGATAAAGCCCCGAGGCCGACCTCATGAGCAGCTGAATACAAGTTATAAACAGGAAGTACCACATTTTGTATGAAGGTAACTGCAAGTAAATCCTCTATTTTCTGTCATAATTACATTGCACAGTATGCTTAATGGTTAAATTAAAGGTTAATGCTTAAAGCTAGTTGTGATTTGTTTTGTGTGTAGATGTATATTGCAACTTCTGGTTGCACAAGTTTAGTTTTGTTATGATCAGTTAACACAAACTGATTTTGTAAGTGTTTATTAGGTTGTATAATGTAAAACTGAGTGCTACGTCTGTAGCATCTTAGCTAGCGCGTCCGTATTGCACGTCACTAGCTCATCGCTACTTCTTGTTGTACCATGCTCTCTAAAAGTTACTGAATCAAGTGTTTACTTATGTAGGTAAACATAGATGTTTAACAACCCGTTAAAATACACCAGAATGCAGGAAATGGCAAATACTTTATTTAAATTTTTTTGAGGGAGGACCCTCAGAGCCCCCCACCAGTGTGTCCCCTCCCCCACGTTATGAATACTTCTGACGCCAAAGGCCACCCTGTTGAGCACATTGTCAGTAAGAATTGTAGAATCGCCCTTGGCTCAAGAGTACTTGTTAAATGACTCAGCAACCGCCACAAATACCAAACATCTGTTCAACATCTGACAAAGTTGTATTAAGTCAGCTAATTAAGGCTGATTAGCCCACTCACCCAGCACACACACTTTTTGCCCCACTCCTCTCAGGAAGGAGGTTGAGGAGCATTAAGTGTAGAACAAGTAGACTGAGGAACAGCTTCTACCCTGAGGATGTTAAACTCATGAATCTGTAACCAGGATAACTGTAATGCCACTTTAACTGGTGATATGTGACTTATCCATGCTGCTGATTATTACATGCTGCTGATCTCTTGCCTTTATGCTGCTGTATTCATACCCATCTGCTCACAACAAACTCATGTTCACCCTATTATTTTAATTATTAGTGTTTAGCGTATGTCTTAGATCAGGAGTGATTTGTGACAAAAGGGTGTCAGCAAAGGTCAAAGGAAAAGTTTACAAGACAGTGGTGAGACCAGCTATGTTGTATGGTCTGGAGACAGAGACATGGACAAAAGGACAGGAGACAGAACTGCAAGTGGCAGAAATGAAGATGTTGAGGTTCTCCTTAGGAGAGACAAGGATGGAGAAGATCAGGAATGAGATCATCAGAGGTACAGCACAGGTTGAACAACTGGGAGATAAAGTTAGAGAGGACACACTGAGATGGTCTGGACATGTCCAGAGGAGGGACAGTGGTGTGGACATGTCCAGAGGAGGGACAGTGGTCTGGACATGTCCAGAGGAGGGACAGTGGTGTGGACATGTCCAGAGGAGGGACAGTGGTTTGGACATGTCCAGAGGAGGGACAGTGGTTTGGACATGTCCAGAGGAGGGACAGTGGGTATATTGGTAGAAGGTTGTTAGAAATGCAGCTGCAGGAAAAAGACAAAGAGGAGACATATGGATGCAGTTAGAGGACATGGAGGTGGTTGGAGTGAGGACAGAGAGGACAGAGTGAGGACAGAGGACAGAGAGGACAGAGTGAGATGGAGGACGACGACTCACTGTGGAGACCCTGAAGAGGGAAAAGCTGAAAGAAGAAGCAGCAGTGTATATCTTAGATCTTTTAGCGTACCTGTATAAAAGTTAAATGAACCTTAGTGTATATCTTAGATATTTGTATTTGTTTTTTTTTTGTTTTTTTTGGGTGTATCTGGGACCTTGAGTACATAATTTCATTCCACCTCATGTACAACATCGTGCCAAATGACAATTAAGAACCTTAAACTTGAAACACAAGGGATGCTAAATAATCATGAAGCTAACTATGCTAAGGCCTTCACTTGTTGGTGTCACACTATAAATATTCCTGACAGAAACTGAAAAATATTTTGTCTTTTTTTTAAAGATAAGAACAAGTTTTCAGCTTTCAAGTTTTCGTGAAAACTACCTGAAAAAAGGAGCAAAATAAAATAAAAATAAGTTTACATGGGTGAATGAGTGAACTTTATTTGTTAAGCTCATTTTAAACAATAAGAAACAACAGTTGGCTAAAGTGCTGCAATGGACACAGTAGAAAGTAAACAGCACAAGAAGTACATTAAAATAAAAATAAAAAATAAATCTAAAACCCACCAAACAAAAGATAAAACATTAAAACAGAACCACCTTAAATATCACTGAATATTGGTGAACATTATTTGTGTATAAATATAGTTTTTGCACAGAAAGATAAAGCGTTCATGTAAAACACGAGATTTATTCTGTTTAGTTTCAAACCTCCTTCCACCAAAGTCGTCTCTATTTATTCCTTATGAACTTTGAATGTGTTTTACAACGATTACTTTGTTTTATCCAGTTTATTTCTGAGCAGAGCTGTGTGGTTTCACTGTTCTCAGAATAAAAACATTATTTTATTTTTCTGTGTTGAAACAGACTAAAAAAAGCTACTTTTTAAAATTTCAGTAAACAAAAAATAAATCATTTGTTTCAAGTTTACACTTAAAACAAGAAACACGAGGAAAGCTAACTGCACCTCCTGTCCAACACGGTTTCATTCAACAAACATAAAAAGCATCGAAACTGAATCGGACCATTCCGTTTCAGAGAACTGGACTCTGGGAACTTTTGAACGAACATCATCACACCTCACCTGAAAGTTGCGACTTTTAATTTGAAAAGTAAAATAATATTTTGGGGTTTTACACCGTTCGACCCAAACTCTGAATGGTTCTGTGCCAGCAGCAGCTTGGATCTGGTTTTTCCATTCCAGGACTTCTCACCTCGGCGTTTTAACGACATCTGACCTCTGAGGGAGTCACAGGACCCACAGGGTTACCTCTCCTCAGTGGTGTGAGTCCTCATGTGTCGGATTAAGTGAGATTTCTGACTGAATCTGTTTCCACATATCTGACACGAGAAGGGCTTCTCACCGTGGTGAGAGATCTTATGGTAAGTTAAACCGTTGCGATTGCAGAAGCCTTTACCACAGACGTCACAGGAGTAGGGTCTCTCACCTGTGTGAGTCCTCATGTGGCTGATTAAGGTACATTTCTGACTGAAGCTCTTTCCACACGTCTGGCAGGAAAAGGGCTTCTCACCTGCGTGACTCTTCATGTGGGAAATCAGAAGACTTTTAGAAGAAAACCTTTTGCCACAGACCTGACAGGAGAAGGGCTTCTCACCTGTGTGAGTCCTCATGTGTCTGATCAGGTGAGACTTTTGAATGAAACTGTTCCCGCAGGTCTGACACAAGAAGGGCTTCTCACCGCTGTGAGAAAGCATATGATAAGACAGGCCGCGGTTCTGAGAGAAACTTTTGCCGCAGACTTTACACGGATAGGGCTTCTCACCTGTGTGAGTCCTCAGGTGGTCCTTCAAGGTGCCACTCTGAGAGAAACAGCGACCACACACTTCACAGGAGTAGGGCTTCTCACCCGTGTGAGTCCTCATGTGAAGAGTTAAATTGTAGCTTCGAGGGAAACTTTTGCCACAAATGTCACACGGGAACAGCTTCTCACCTGAGTGGGACCTCATGTGGTACCTGAGGAGCCATTTGTGGAGGAAACTCTTCCCACAGGTCTGACACGAGGAAGGCTTCTCACCAGGCTGAGGTTTTTTGTGTCTCTTTAGTTTTGGACCTTCCATGTCGTCTCTGCTCGTTCCTGGGTTCTCACCCCAGCTTCCTGCCTGATCATGGTTCTCAGGAGAGTTCTGTGGGAGGAGCTGGTCCCAGTTTGATTCTGGTTCCCAGTAGTCCCTGTCCTCAAAGTCCACGGTCACCGTGAAGGCCTCGGCCTCCTGCTTCAGGACCGTCTGCTCTTCATCCTGACTGATGCAGAGCTCCTCCTCCTCTTCTTTAAACAGATGAGCTTCTGGTTCCTCCTCTGAAAGGTCTGGTTCCTCCTGGGCCTCTGGTTTCTGAGGAGGGTCCAGTTCCTTCTGGTCAGGGAGAACCTTAGAGACACCAAGCTGCGGACATTCTGGACAGACAGAAAACAGACTTTTAAAGAACTGAGAAACCTAAGAGAAACAAAAGTAATGTCTGACGGACAGACCCACCGGGCTGGTCCAAGCTCGGTTAACGAGGAGAACATCTGATTGATCTCTTGGCTCTACTCCCACCCGAATGTAACATTTTAAAGAGACTAACGAAATGTAAAAAGTTACACTAAGTTCTGTTTGTTTTAAACCATTAGTTAATTTTTACCTAATTATTATTATTATTTTTAATTTATAACTTATTTCAACAGTCGGGCAGAACGGTGGCGCAGTTGGTACAGCTGCCGCCTCTCAGCGAGAAGGTTGCCAGATCGAATCCTGGCCGGGGGCCTTTCTGGGTGGAGTTTGCATGTTCTGTCCGTGCATGCGTGAGTTTTCTCCAGGTACTCCGGTTTCCTCCCACGGATCAAAAACATGCATGTTAGACTGACTGGTGACTAAATTGTCCCTAGGTGAGAGAGTGAATGTTTGTCTCGTTTGTCTCCATGTGTCCATGTGATGGACTAGAGACATGTCCAGGTGTCCCTGTGATGGACTGGAGACCTGTCCAGAGTGTCCCCCACCTCTTGCACAGCAATGGCTGGACATGGGCACCAGTGACCCCCGTGATCCGAAAAGGAAGAAGCAGGTAAAAGATAATGGACGGACGGATTTCCAACAATCGGTCCGGTTCTGACGACTCCCTGACCCAGATGTTCCGACACAAGGCTGACTGACGTGGACTTTGGTGTAGACAAACGTGACCTTTGAACCCTGAAGGAGCCGCTGCTTCTGTCCTGAGGGACCTGTGTGACCAGGAGGTGCACACATGCTGGGACAGAACAGGTCCAGGAGGTGGACACATGCTGGGACAGAACAGGTCCAGGAGG